AATAACAGGGAGGCATGAGGATGTAACATGTTTACAGGTTGTAAGGTCAAAGGTGCTTTGTTAAGATTATAATCAAAGACCTTTTTTGTCATAATTTAAAATTAACATTAAAGGGTGTGCACACAATTTAACAACAACCTGTATTGGATTAATACTATTTTGGTGTAGTGGGAGGCATCAAAGCTTTGCACCTGTTTTTCCAGACACTGTTTTGAAAGCAAATGTAGCTACCATTCAACAATGAATCTACAGTATGCAATGCAGACACAATCCACCTGGTTAGCACATGTTACCAGTGGTCCCTGAGCGGTAGTTCATCTGACATGGAAATGACCTAAGGACCTAGTGCATGCATGATATCCTTGCAAATACTTTTCAGGTGTAGTAAAAGCTTTGTTTCAGGCAGGTTGAGATCTTCATACTTCATGTAGAAAAAGACTGATGTTCATTCAGTGTCCAATTTAATTTGACTTTAAAAAGCATATTGTGGCAAGTTGTAAATTTAAAATAAAATTAATGAATGGACGAACGAACGAACAAATGAATGAATGGATAAACAAATAAATAAATAAATAAATAATTCTTCATTAGTAATTATCAGATTTATTGAAAAAAAAAAATTATGTGTTATTTAACTGGTATTGTTCAGATACAGGTAACATATTTTTTTGTTGTATATATATATTTTTTTATTTTCTCCAGCATTACCCACAGCAGCTGTGGCAGATGTGAAATGTATCACGTTTTCTCTAACCTCAGTGATTTACAATATTTTTTCCAGCTTCATCTTTTCCATTTTTTGTCACCTGAAACGGAATTGTGTTATTAATTTCCTCCTGCATTCATCAAAAAGTAACAGTTGCCCATTTGCTCTGCTCCCAGATCAGTGTCCTTGCTTTAGTAATTGAAAAGGAAACAGTAAAGCTGGCCTTGGATCAGCAAAAGGCAGCTGCAAGCTATGATCTATATTTACCAGACTCCCCTGTTTGACCATCTGGCCGAAAACCGACCTGTAGAATACAAATAATAAACAACATTATCTAGACAATGAAGTCCTGTTTATTTTCATTGGTGGTCTGACCACAAATGTTAAAATGAAAACTGCAAGACAAATGATCCTATAATGGGTAAAGTAGCTTTCATTTTTATTGTCATACTTCTAATAAAGGATTATGTTATTACAGATTTTTGTCAAAACATGCAAAACAAACTATGAGTCCTGCAATTAATAGCTTATCACTTCTGTTATTACCATGACTCTTGAAATATTTCCAACCTTATCTCAGCTTTAATGAAAAAAGGAGTGATGGACATTTAAAGGGCATATCTGAGAAAGAAAAGAGTATAAAGGCAAGCACTGACAAGACAGAAATGAAGATGTGCCATTTTAGTCAGTCTTTCTGTATTTGCTTTTGGCACTTACTGTAGAGCAGACTATGTGGTTTTCAGTCTGTCAGTATTAAATCGTAGCATTCAGGTTTATTGGCCATTGCCCTGAATTCTCACATAGTCTTTTGTCTTGCCGTTCTGGCCTAGATCCCCAGGGCCTCCACATGGACAGGACTGTATAATAAACAGCCTCCCAACCCACTGAGTGCAGCTGGACTATTGCTAGAATCCAGACAAAGAGTGGAAAACCATGGACACTTCAACCTACAAAGAAAAACTTTAGACTGTAAGGCTATAAAGAAATAGTTAAAGAAACTTGAGCTGTCAAGTTTCTGCACCAACAGAACTGCTGTTTTTCAAACAGGTTTCCTAAACCTTTCCCCCACTCACGCCATTGGTTGAGCCAAAGTTGCTGTGTTGGCTGGTCAGGGGTGCGTTTCCTGTACAATGACATAACTCGCTGTTTAACCACTGCAATATGAATTGTTGGAGAAATTAACTAGCAAGTCGCAAAACTGTTGCAAGGACGCACCTCTGTCGTTTGACCAACATTGATTAAATAATACAGGTCTGCTGTTAACGACATCACATGCAAGTCGTGGACTTCGCAATTGCTTTCAGATTATTTTTGCTTTCGATGTTTGATTCTTTGCGGTTTCCCTCTTACGCATTTGACACATGCGCACTCTTCAAAAACGGCGTTTATTGTTGACACCCTAAAACAAGGGTCCTAGGGCCCCTAAGGGGTCCACAGTAGTAATGCAGGGGGTCCTCCAATTAATGTTAAATGTTAAAAAATTAAAACATGGGTAAAAATACAAAGTAAAATTTTAATATAAGCACCCTCATACAAAAGCAAGAGCACCCTCAGTTGATACTGTAATAATATCATATTATTTGGTAAAACAGATCTGGCAAACGCTCCAGTGCGTATTTGTGTTTACGCTCTAGAGAACATCAAATGTTTTTATTTACAACATGTTTTTGGAGCGGTTAGAAATGTAACCAATCACAGATATATTTGTTGATCTCTTGAACGCAATGGCCAATCAGAGGCGTTTAATTTAATCAGAATACACTCATCGGTCAAAACGCCTGGGTTTTTGTTCAATGCTGAGTTCTGCACGCTCTCGAATCCTCTCATTAACAAGCAAAGACACAACTTAAGAGATTCATAAGGAGTCCTGCACATGACATGCAGGAAAAAAATAGTAGGCTAAATCGAGCGCATGATTTAGGCTACTAATTCTTCGTTCCCTCCATTTACTAAATCGCGTGCACGATTTACAACTTCATTCCCTGCATTTATAAATCGAGAGCACGATTTACTATTTTGTTCATTTGATTTGCTATATCGTGCAACAATTTATAAATCTAGGGAACTAATTAGTAAATCGTGCACACGTCATGTGCGGAGCTCCGTAGATTCATTATGCAGTGTAGATAACTTTATTGTTTTTTTCTGAGATGAGTGACAGCTTTGTAGTGATAGGGACCACTCTTTGCGCCCTTTCGAGGCTGTAATATATTTTTTTATATTGTAATATAGTATATTTTCACATTTAATATCCAAATTAATGTAGAAACTGTCATGTTGTAGCTAAGCGCGGTGTCAAACAGGAACACAATGAAAAAGATGAAGGTAAAACAAAACTTATTTAATAGAACGACATCACCAAACTCAACATAAGCGTTAACGACAACCGACAAAGAGAACTGAAAACAGGCATATAAATACAAAGGCAAACTATGAATATTAATGACACACAGCCAGACAGAATAGCAAAATCATATCAATTACCATGACAACTAAAGACTGACGGGGACTAGAACAAAGGAGACTGAATAGAAACAATCTTAAAGTCCATGAAAGTGAAACTAAGACAGAAATAACTGATAATATGTTACAGAAACAACAAAGGCATTATATTTAAAAAATGTGTTGCATTGTTATGGCAATATTATAAATAAAGGCCAGAGTCACAAAATCAATGCGGCCATATTTGGCTATCGATGGTTTTGGGAAACGCACCATATAGGGTGCTCAAACAAATGCCACTGTAGTGTAGAGTTTATGTCAATTTCTTTGTGGAAATCAATCAAGAAATATATATATACTGTACTTATATATATATATATATATATATACATATATATATATATATATATATATATATATATTAATCCAGCATAATCAGGGATAAGATATAGTATTTATAGATCACAGAGAATTACATTAAGGAAATTCTAAATGTGTTTGCTGCTTGTTGCATTCTACAGTCTAAAATAATACTGAACTGTTCTGATGTTCTTCCAATGCTTTCATAATGCTTTTCAGCTGAGTCAATATTTATCCAGAAACTGTAGGAAAACACTGCGTATCTAAGTCACATAATCAAGCTTTAGGCAAATGATTCACAGAAAAATGCACAGCACTCCTTTAGTGTGCACATTTATCTGTCATATAAAAGCTGGTTTGATAAATATAGATCTGATCTCATATTAGAGATTAATACTGTTAATCTTGAACAGAAAAAAAAAAAACCTGAATAAATCTCAAATAGAAATAGCACATGCAATCTCTCTGCAATGAAGGTAAGATGATCTCTTCACAAACACATCTGTCTTTAGCATGCAGGAAAGATCTTCTGCATCTCACTAGTCCATCAAAACAGCAGTTGAATCTCCAGGCAGGCAAGCTTTATATGAGTTTACTCACAAATGCATTTTACCCCACTTTTAGTAATGAACAGCTTCCTGCAACAACTAAATCACATGTTGTCAGTTGCAAAATAACACCTGGTCTTGTTTACTGTGATATAAGATGACAGTAAATCACATAACTGTGTGTACTACTGAGATCATTGCCAAGGTATGTGGAAACTACTGGATGTGATTGCACACTAAACCAAACATGCCCTGGCACATTCGTATTTTGTTTTTTACAGGTTAAAGTTAAATTATGGAAATCTCCTGCCTTATCCAGGTCTTAGATTAGTTTGTGTCCTCTAGAGGGATTTTACTTTCTCACAAATTCAGTCTCCAGAGACGGAAGCAGACCCTGGGTATTCTGATTAAAACACTTTAATGAAGACCATCTGTGGAATGGCACTGAAATTAATACCTTTCTTTCCAGGTTGTCACAGAAAGAGAAAGAAGAAAATTAAAACTAAAAATGAACTCTCTTAAGTGATGCTATGTGAAGTAGACAACTTTTGAAAGATAACACAAACTGATCTGAGCATTTTTTATTAGTTTATTCTTTTTACAGCTCTGACTTTTTGAGGTAAGAAAACTTAATTGATGCAAATGTTGAACCCCAGTGACTGGAAAACCTCTCAGGTCAAAGCGAGAGTATAAATCAGGATTATCCCAGAAACCCCAGATTACACAGTGTAACATATTTTCAACATGTCTGGCACAGATCACAAACAGATGCTAAGCACATGAAATGCTCTACTGTAAGTGCAGGATTATTTAACAGATACTGTACTTGTAGCAGCAGTAATGACTTAAACACAAAGCTGCTCACATAATTAACTCAACAGCTGTAGAACACGTTCAAGGAATGCATTTCAAAACAACCACCTCAAAGAACAATGGACACTTCTTTAGCTGTTCTGGCCAGTGAAATCAGTAAGAGGCATGAGATGTTTCTAAGAGATCAAATCGAACATAAACTTCCTAATGAACCACTATTTTTTTTTTATTTATTTATTTTTTTATTTGATAGGGACAATGCTCATTGATCAACAAACAAGTTACTTGCTGTAAACAAGCCAGAGTTAGCTACAAGTGCTAGTTTCCATCTGTTGTCCCTAGCCAGATCTTAACAGGCACCCTAAAATACAAAAGTCAATAAAAATACACTATACAGTAGCAATGTAATAAATACAACAGGAATTTCAAAACAATGTAAGCATAATAAAAATAAAAAAAAATAATAATAATAATAATAAATACAGCAGAAATTTCAAAACAATATAAGCATAAAAAATAAAATAAAGTATGTTCATGGACTTAAGTATTTGATGTATGATTACAATTGTAATTGTCCCTAAGCCAAGATTTAAGCTGTTTTTTAAAAGAGGAGAGACTATTACACTCCCTTAACTCATTGGGCAGACTATTCCAAAAAATTGTAGCTCTGACAGAAAAGGCTGTGTTTCCAATCCTACTTTGTCTATATTGAACTATGCAGTCCCCTCTGGTGGCTGATCTAGTTACTCTATTGGCCTTATCTTTCTGTTTTATAAACTGGCATAGTGGTGGTGGAGCAAGCCCACGAAGTACCTTAAAGACAAGACAGGCATCAGCATAGTGTCTAAAGTTTTCAAAGCTAAACATGTTGTGTTTTTTGATTATGTGACAATGATGATAGCTATTTCCCTTACGGTCCAATGTCTTTAATGCCTGTTTATAAAGTGACTCCAATGGTTGCAATGTTGTTTTATTGGCTTGCGACCAGCTAGTTAAACAATAAGCAAAATGTGAGAAGATCATCGCATGCAAGAAGAGCTTTGCGGCCTTCATTGATAGATATGATCTTATATACTTAAAATTTGCCAGGTTAAATTTAACAATATTGGCAACCTTTTTTGAATGCTTTTTAAATGAGAGTTGTGAGTCTAGGATAATTCCAAGATATTTAAAATCAGATACCACTCTAACCTTCTCTTGGTTAACAATTACCTCAGGGTCATAAGTCACAGTAGTTTGTTTTGTAAAATACATACATACTGTTTTATTTATGTTCAGGTGTAAGCATGAATTAATTAGCCATATGGATACCTTACTCATGGCCTCAGTCAGTTGGTGTGCAGCTTGTTGTTTATTTTTAGCATGCACGTAGAGGACTGTGTCATCTGCATACATTTGTAAATGTACAGATGGACAAACAGTAGGCAGGTCATTTATATAAAGACTGAACAGAAGGGGGCCCAGTATAGATCCTTGAGGGACACCTATTTTACAGTTTAGATATGTAGATTGAGTGTTGTTAATGCGTGTGCTTTGTTTTCTGTCAGATAAGTAAGATTTCATCCATTTAATTGCATTCCCACAAAAATTAAAATAGGATAATTTTGACAAAAGAACGTCATGATCGACGGTGTCAAATGCTTTTTTTAAATCTAAAAATATTGCACCCACCACGCCTCCTTTATCTAGATTCATTTTAATGTTCTCTATAAAAAAGCAGTTGGCTGTTTCTGTAGAGTGATTACTACGAAAGCCAAACTGCATTGGGTGCAGTGGTGTATGACCTTTACTAAGATGAGTAGTCAGCTGTTTCGCCACCCATTTCTCTGCTACCTTGGATATTACAGGTAGTATACTGATAGGCCTGTAGTTCTCCACCAGTGTTTTATCACCGGCCTTGAAAATGGGGGTTACCACAGCTGTTTTCCAGGAACTTGGGAAAATACATTGTTTAATTGATAAATTGATTAAATGTGTAAGAGGTTTGATTAAAGGCTGTTTATGAGTTTTAAAAAATACAGAATCAAAACCAAAGGCATCTTTAGCTTTTGAGTTCCTTAATGAACTTATGATATTCTCTACCTCAAGTTCACTAATTTCCTCAATTCTAAAAACAGGTTTGTCAATATCAATAGGAGTGCTCACTATATTACTAGCAATGCAATTCTGTGCCAATTCCTCAACTGATTGGATAAAAAAATTATTAAAAGTGTTTGCTATAATGTTGTCTTCTCTGGTTATGATTCCGTTTAATTTTAGTTCAAGTGCCGGTGCGCAATGCTGAGTATCTTTCCCAATTAATTTATTAAGATTGTTCCAGATTAATTTCCCGTCTCCCTTTGCATCATCAATTACTTTTATATAGAAATCTGCTTTGGCTTTCCTTATGTTCCTTACTACTCTATTTCTGAGGGATGTATAACTATACCAGTCACTTCTGAGTCCTGACTTAAGTGCAATCTTTAGTGAGGAATCTCTGTCCCTCATCTGTTTCCAGAGAGCCTCATTGAGCCAAGGTGGAGCATTTTTCTGTCTTGGTCTGTGTGTCATTCTTCTGCTATATGAAGATATTATAGTATTAACAGTGCTTGAAAACAGGTTGCAACTGTTTTCTATATCTTCAATAGCCAAAAGATCAGTCCAATCAATATCATTTAAGACAGATTTGAATTTGTCCATATCATTTTTAGGAATTCTCAGATGATATTGTTTCACTGTGGTTGTGTTCTTAAAACGTTTTTTAGTGAGTTTCCTTCCCAGTAATGTTATATTATGGTCAGATAATCCTGTTAATAAATTGTATGATTTTGTTACCCTTTCTGGTCTATTTGTAAACATTAAGTCTATTTGCGTCTGAGAGGAGTGAGTAATGCGGGTTGGTCCAAGAACTAACTGGGTAAGATTAAATTTATCTGTTATGTCTTTAAGTTTTTTCCGATCAGAGTTATTTTCCCAGTTTATATTAAAATCACCCATTAAAATTAGCTCCTTTCTTTCTTGACATTGTTTTAACAGTTTATGTAAATTATCATAAAAAGCAATGGTAGATGAAGGAGGACGATACAGGCAAACTAAAATAAATGACATTTCAGGGGATAGCCAAACATTCAATCCAAGGCATTCAATATCTAATACAGGCGACCATTCAATCAAATTACATTTGATTGTGTCTTTCACATAGATTAACACGCCTCCCCCTCGCCCTTTATCTCTGTCCTTTCTGAAAACATTGTATCCAGATACATTAACAGCTGCCTCTGGTGAATATTTACTTAACCACGTTTCTGAGACACCAAGAAAATCCAGGTTGGAATTATTTAGTAGATGTTCCATTTGATCGCTCTTTGAGACCATGCTACGGATATTAATATGTCCGCCTAGTAATCCCCCTGGTTTAGAGCGTGGGTCCCATAGAATTTTTGCATGGTTTAGAGTTCGGAAAAATGTAAACTTACGGTGTTTCCTGATAGCTGGATTGAGATCGGTAAGTTTTCGTTTATCACGAACAGGCCACTTTACCGGTTTAGAGATCCCCAGCATCGGTGGCATGAGTGATGAAAGCTCACCGCTGGCGTGCGTCAAAGTTTTGGAGTGTTCCTCGCGTGTCGCTCCGTGTAAACTGGAATCCAAACCGGAGACCACACATGGATTCAGCGCGTCCATGGAAGATTGCAGCATGATGTCCATCGATGCCATCCACGAGCACCCGCATGATCTTCGGCCTCCTCCCACGTTCCGACCCCGATCGCTGCCGTTGTCTCGCCTGTAGTCCAGGGCAGGTCCAAGGCGACAGCCATGTGCATCTATGGAAAGGCCGGTGTCACCAACACCGGATCCGTACGGACCAGGGTTAGGCTCGACATCTCCAGCCAAGAGAAGGATTGTCAACAGCAAAAGGATATCCTGGTAGGGCCGTCTTGATTTTACTTTCCTTCGGATACCTGTATGATTTGGCAGGGTAGCTTGGCCTTTGTTTAGCAGAGCTTCGTAAATAGCGTGTTGGCTCGATGCGTTTGGTCTAATGCCGTGCTGAAACTTTCCAAGCCCAGCTGACCCGGCATAACAACATCGCACAGAGAGTAGGAGTAGCACAAAGACAAGACTTGCTACAAACAAACTTTTAGTGATCGTAGCACTTTTCCTTGATTGTATGAGATGACGTGAGCCAGTTTTGTACGAAGACAAGGGATTTGCGTAGTTGGTAGCATTGTTTGAGTATACGGCGACAGCTGCACCTGTCCGCATACGTGCCGCCATTTTGATCTTATCTGTGCCAAGGCCCTGAAGGTTGTTATAGGAGGCATGTTTAGGTTCATCTGTGCAGCAGTGGAAGCGATCCATCTGAAGAGACTTCACTTTTCCAGTGGGCTTCAAGTCAAACATCTCAAAGTGTCCAGGGGGGAAGGGGGTGATCTCTGCAGGGGTGGACATGGAGTGTGTGATCTCTGTCAAACCTTTGGCCTCAGAACTGACTGCTAGAAAGCCATCGTCGGTGAGCAGTCTGAACAGTGGTCTCACACCGTAGGTGTCCCTCCCCAAGAAAACCTTTCTGTTAGCAGTGTCCAACAGGATGAATGCGAACACGCCGTCTAGCAGAGATGCCATCTTCTCGATTCCAAAGCGATCGTACAGGTGCAGAAGGATCTCTCCATCCACTTTGGTCTGATGCTCAAACTCAAAGTGCTCCTTCAGCGTGACGTGGTTGTAGATCTCACCGTTGTAACACAACCAGAGGTAGGGAAACTTCTTGACACGCAGAGGCTGCATGCCATACAGCTGGTCCACAATAGCAAGGCGGTGAAACCCAAAGCAGCAGTTGGTGAATCCATTGACATTCTCGAAGCGGAAAGCATCTGGACCCCGATGGGCGATCTTCATGGCATTGGTGCACTGAGATGCGAGGCACTCATCACTACCAAACAAGGCCCATATACCACACATTCTGATGCTTTAAAAGATGCTTGATTTGGGTGTATTTCGAATGACTAAATGGTGTAACAGACCTATGTAACATCTGCTGTAGACCAGCCTGACCACAAAAGTGTGATCAAGTGAGATTTTTTTTTCCAGATATGCTTCCAGAGCAGTTGTTTTAAATTGTGATTTTGATTAAACCATTTCTGAAACTTCTTAGACATGGTTGGGGTGCACCGGATATGGTCTACTAATACAGTAGTTCTCTGATTGCTAACTGTATAGGTTTGAATCTACATTTCTCTAGTGAATAAATCTGCAATCCCTAATTCTGAATGCTTATGTTTAAAATGGCAAAGATTGATATCACACCATTGCAAGTTTTTAAAAACACTTCTTGTCTTGAAGTCTTGTCAAATAGTAACTGAGAGAATTTGGATTTTTAACAGATGTGCCTCTAAACAAATCCACATGGACTCCTTTGGAGGAATGTAGTGAAAGGCGAGAATGTGGAAAAAAAGTTTTTTGACCCCCAGAGGAAGGATCAACACACAGCTGAGGATCCACAGAGGGGCTCCTATGGGAGATTAATTAAATTACAGGGCTTTTAAGTGAATTTCATATATTGCTCATTAGTGTATAGATCAACTGTATGATGACATTACGATACGATCTGGAAGCATACATTCAATTAGTTTTATCTCCTCATGTGGCAGACATTAATGTGGTTGCAATATCACACTTGACAGCCAGTGTTGAAATAAAGTTGTGTTGACCTTTTGCTTCTGGAATGAGATAAACTTGATGTCTGTTTAATGAGTGAGAAAGCAAGACATGTCAATCGGAGTGTCCATCAACAGCAGCCACAGAATATTTATAAGAAAAAGAACTAAAAACGACAGCAGCAGTCCAATCATCAGATAGGAAACCAGTTTATTGGAATCACCTCACTGTTATTTGGAATCAATTACAATTATATGCTCATTTACGATTGCATTTACAGTTACTGTTTTGCACGTGTGGCAAATGTTGTATGTCACTTTTGTCTTCTTGAGCAAATGGACAACATAAATGTCGATTGTAGTCTGATTAACAAAATCACATTATCCAGGTCTGTAAGTCCAACTTCGCAAAACAAGGACTAATACGATTTTAAGTCAGAATAAAACATGACATATTAATAAGACAAATTAAGGTTTTTGTCCAATTGAAATCGAGCTCTCAAAAGGCCTGTAAAGGCCTGGTCACACAATCAAAAATGTGTCCTGTTGGGCATGAAAATTTGTCTGATTTTCACATGCTCTTTGACTGTTCAGAGAAAGGGTGCAGAATGAAAATGCACTTTCACTCTCTGACATTACTGGTGTGTGGTGGGCGTTCTGGCGCAATATGGCTGCCGTCGCATCATCCAGGTGGATGCTGCACATTGGTGGTGGTTAAAGAGATTCCCCCCTTCCATATGTGAAGCGCTTTGAGGTCCCAGAAAAAGCGCTATATAAATGTAACAAATTATTATTATTATTATTAATCTCCGAGTTAAATAACATCAGAAGTTCTGAAAATGTGACTAAAATATCACCTTTAAAGCATGCGTTCATGTTCATTCATTCAAATGAAAATGTTTATTGTGCCAAATTTCTCACCAAATATTCTTATTGGTGTTTATGGGCCTTAAATGTACTTGGTGATTTATTTTCCAATTCATGGAACAGACCAACCTTTCTCAAACAAGAAACTTTTCTAACACTTTTATTATTTGTTGGATGAAGAATAAGGCCAGACAGATTGCTAGTTATTCCTAACCTCTGTTTTGACGTTTAAAGCTACAACTGCAAAGGCTTTGCTAAAATGTCCTTGGTCACACTTCAAAGGGGAAGAGATGGTGAACGAATGGCAGTTTACCTGCAAGGCAGTAATAACAGGGTGATGACAGGGGTCGACCTTTATGGGAGTCCATGTTTGCATAATACCTTGCATAATAAAGAGTTACAAAGGGTTCATGGTATAAGCAAATTAATAGCTCTTTTCTTCTCTTGATTTCATTAAAATCTCCTCAATGTGGCACAACAGCTATATAGTATGTTAAAGTAAAATTGAAGAAAACTGAATCACTCAATTAATCCTTATAAAGTGTTTGTATCAAATACCTCGTCATCATATACACATACTTCTGTTAAGAAATGAAATCAACCTGTTGTCACTGACCTGGAAATGTCTAAACTGATTTTAAAGGAAACTGCATTCAGTAACAAGATGGGTTGATAGGAAGGCCTCAGGCAGTGCTTAAACTTGCAGTGTGTGCTGATGGTATGATAAATCTTTGGATTGTCTTTCAGCCATGAGCTTTAGTTTTATGTTTCCTCTCTCAAAGCTAAGACATCTCCTGGAAACTATGCCAGAATACACTTCACTTCTGCCAGGGCATGACTCACTTGTCTACTGGTGCCTGTTGAGCATGTCAGTGTGTCAAGAACTGAGGGGGTTAATCCCCTTTTATAGGGGATTAAAAAAGGAATGACAGCTGGGACACTGCATTCACCATGATCAAATCAAATTGTATAGTAGAATTGTGATCACAATTTATACTGCAGCATTCATATTATTCTGTTTTTGCATATAGGATTGAAATATGCTGCCTGCTCATTCATTTTTCTAAGCCATATCAACAAGCTTGATGCAACATAGATTATAATGACATCACACCAGAGATGCATAGGTGCATTATGTGGCCATATCCACATGGCCAGATGACACCTGTTGTGTACAACCTACAGCTTGAACAGACCACAGTTCTCGACACATGTCAGATTGGAGCACCCTTGAAAAATTCAAGTGCTCTTGTTTTGAAATTCTGCTTTCTATCTTATTGTATTGTCTCTGTTACTTAGTTGGCACAAAGCAGAAGTCATGACTTTACTTCCATGCTGTGATGTTCTGTATTTACAAATAATTGAGATAGAAATGATGTAGAGCGAGAATTGATAATATTTATTAGTTATTGTTTGAATTGGGAAAAGTGAGCATTGCATACTGGATTTAAGGCAGATAAATCACATTTAGTGATTGGCTGAACTGCTGTAACGATGCGGCAAGGACGAAGCAGAGAGAGAATCCAAATGCAAGCACTCTTTTAATAAAGTAAACCGGTCATACAAAGGAACACGGAACTCAGGACAGGAACATGGAGAACGCTACAAGCAACAACGACCGACAACCAACAACTGAAGCACAGAGGTTTAAATACACAGACAAACAAGCTAAACAAGATAACAAGGGGGGCGGGGCTAATTAGAAACACCTGGAGAGACTAATAAACAAGAAAAACTACAAAGGACTACAAAACATGGCACAGAACAGGAAATAACAAAAGTCCACACAAGACAAGGAAAACACAAGACAGGAATCGTGACAAATGCATTGCATGCCAACAGAGAGAAGGGAGCAGATCACAATTAGAACAAGAATTAGAATTGCCTAATGTATGTACAGTACGTGTTTTTTATTAATTTTTAGTAAATCAGATGCTGTACTTGTAGATCATAATTCTGTCAAATGATTGTTCAATTCAATTCTTGTTTGCACCGAGTTTTTGGATTCTTCTTTAGAGATTATCTTTGTGTTTTGTTGTGATGAAATAAAGCAGCATTTAGATCCTCACAATATCCTCAAGTGGCGTGCACAAAAAATAAAAATAAAAAAATAAACATGGACGATACAACTGTACCACAAAACACACTTCCGTCAAGGACAATTAATTATATACAAAATAACACTTAAACTAAAATGGATTTTGTAATAAGGGTTGATCCTTCCATTGGAGAAATTCAAGCTTGAAGTGCCTTCCTTATATTTTTTTGTTTTCTACTACAAGTAATGCACCTTGCCAAAACAAACTTAACATAGGGTCTGCAACACATTTTACAAGCCACTTCTTGTTTTTGACTAGACATTTTAAAAAGCGTCAAATTAAATAATTAAATAATAGGCCTAGTCAGGCGCAATACCCAAAGACATCCTTGAATAGATTTTTGTGTTTAGATCCTAAAACTTGTTTTCATAGGCAAAATATTTGACGCCATTACTCACAAACAAGAACAAAGACGAGACATAACAAATCTTCAAATAAATCAGTTCCTCATTTTGAATAAAAACCAAGCAGAGTCAGTCTGATGGTGCAGAATGACCACCAAGTAATTCATTTACAAAGAGCCTTGCAGTTATTTGAAGACTTTGGAAAAACAACCGTTAAAATGATTTGTTTGTGTCATACATGTGTGTCTGCTTTACTGTAAAAGTCTGAATAAAGTCAGATCAAATTCCATTAACAATTAACACAAAACAACACTGGATGAATAATGAAGAAATCTAGTACCTATAAGGCCTAAAGAAAAGCATTACAGTTAAGTGGTAGCGTTGAGTGTTTCGGATTAGTCTTTTGTACAAGTCCAAATCATAATGATATTGATACATTCTGACAGCCATGAATCATAAATATATGTTCACTTAAAAGTCTCCTCTATTGCTCTTGAATAAGACAGAACCAGTGCAATATCATTTCAATTAGATCTTTTACTTCTCCATGCAAGAAGATCCTCTCTAATTTGATTCTCATTTCCGTGCAACTTCTACCCCTCTAATCAGACCGTTAGACTGTAATCACGAGAGCTACAGTTCACTCCTTCCCCAGAGGCTCTGCAAATGGACGTTTAGATCTGAGTAAGCATATTTGTGAAATGACCATCACCGGAGAGGCCTGCTCCAAATTCAGTTGCTGTTACACTCAACAGCTGGTTAATCAAGAAATATTACAGCATTGGCGTGTAAAAAATGGGGACTCTAGGCTGACCTAGATATGGTCTTCATGTATCTGCTGACCTTAACTGTCCCCCTGTACCGACAGGGTTTTGTGCCTGATAGCCCCATGCTTTCACTGACACCTTAGTTCACTTAAAAATGTAATTGTTGTCATCATTATACTCACCCTCATGTTGTTCCAGATGTGGAAAACAAAAGAAGATCCAATGAAAGGGCAACATCGGACCCCACTGACTTAAATTGTATGGGT